TAGGATTGGTAAGAACAGAAATAGGCTATTGGCTGGAAACTTATCGAAACAATCCAGTTCGGATTTGCAGAATTCTTCATAAAAGTATTTCCTCGAGTAGTATTTCGACGACATGGGGAGTTGGCTATTGTTTCCTACATTTCTGATATTGGCTGAAAACTAATCAAAACAATCCAGTTCGGGTTTGCAGAATTTTTCGAATCGAAACCGCAGTTTCTGTTTTGGGGATCCCCTAACTTTCGATCGATAAGTCTTCGGTCTCCGACCGATATTCTCGTTCTTATTGTTATTCACGAATTTCCACTTTGAAAACTAACATTGTAGCATCTCTTTCTATATATAAATGTCACAGCTTTCCCCATCCTTACCCATCCGTATATAACTATCATTAGATATTCTGATGCTGATCTGTACCGATAATCGGGTTAAATGTTAAGTCCCTCTTTAGTGTTTCATGACTACATACGAAAACACGGGACAATGATATACATACAACTTCTCCTTTTTAACTAGCAGCCAAACGCCTAACGCGCTCCTCAGTTGCATAAATACATTCAGTTATTTTTGAAACAAATAAGTAAAATTATAAATGCGACGACTGCTATGTTATCCGAACAAAAGCGAAAACTTTAACTACCAAGCGTGTGTCTGCCAAATACAAATTCAGCGTATTATTGATTAATTTCTAATGATTTTTATACTTTTTGAAATAATGCAAAATTGCCTAAAACTCCTGACAAAGTCTGCTTGGCCTCAAAATTGAACCGATTTTTTGTAAACTGTATATGTGACTCGTTGAAACTGAGATTCGAATGATTCAGAGTGAATAATTATTCACAAACCAGTAATCATACCTGAACTCCCAACTGTTTATGTCGCACAAAGACAGACAATAGTTGTGGTAAATTAACATTTGCCTTATGAGAATTTATTTTCTTATATTGGTTTGTTTACATGTAACTGTAGCCTAATTCCTTCACGAATTTATGGTAAATTTGGAGTTCGGTACTACCGTAGTATGTGTACCAGATTAGGGTTAGGCCATAATTTTATGCCGATTTTCCTTATTTTAGTTCCATTACGAGTTCGGGGACTGTTTATGTTAGCCAACTGAATGAAATGAACCCTGCTCATAGGCTTCCATCCCTTTACACAACTTGATGTAAAGTAGGCGAACAAAATTAGTTACCTCCATACATGGGCATGCCAAACTTTTCTGCTGCCCGGGGCGAGTTTCTGATAATACTTTTAAAAGTCAATGATCAACCAAAATATTTCATATATATATATGCTTTCATAAAATTCCATAAGCAAATTAGGACGGCTCATCCATTAGCCAACGTCATGTATATTTTACATTGTAACAAAGCTGAAAAATATCAGACGGTTGTTTGTCATGTTGGAAAGGCTAAAGTAGAAAAAAGACAAAACTAAAATGGTGAAATTTTAGTTTCAAACTCCCAAAACCAACCTCATCTCATAGTTTGCGTCGCTATACACTACCGTTGTCCGTTTGCGGGGACGTTGTAACTCACCGAAGGGCTGATTCAAACATCGAACCGCAGACCTGATTCCAAATATAATAAGAGTGTGAGAGCTGGTTGCCCCGCGGTGGCCCACCTTTCCCTACTTAACTTTTAAAAAATATTTCGGTGTATAAAGAGATTATAGACGTCGTTACACGTGAGAATAAATAAATTGAAGGTCAGGTAAGACAGAAACGTTCGTTTTATTAAACAAATCATCAAACTAAGCAAAAAACTCACTGTATAAAATCGAACTCATTTATTAACAAAAAGCAAGTCACCCATTTCTATGTGCAATCGCTACTTTGCTGTCAACGATTGTCTGAATGAAAGACTCTTTCGAATTTCGGTACTAATCAAAGATAAACTTGACATCGAATACCTCGAATATATATATATTTTTTTATCAGAACTTTGAGAAAGATCGCGTGCAACTATCAATTGAGTATAGCCAATTGTGAGTAATACACATTATGCAATGCACAAAGTTGGAAAATCATCCCAGCCAAGCTCAACCAATGAATCCAGGGGTCGGTCGCTTCGCTACCCGCGAGGGGAAATGTGAAGAAATGTGTTTAGTAAGGTAAAAAGTAGGTGTTTGTTCTGATTTTGTTGGAAGACCCTGGTCGTTGCGCCGGACGAATGGCTGCATTCGTCCGGCGCAGTGCCCCCGACCTTTTTAGTTCATTAAATAGTTTAAATACCAGGTTAGAAACTGATCCCCTCTAATGGGAATCAAGTTTTATTCATTTTAGGGCCCGTGATCACTCAACCGTGACGAAATTTTTTTGACATAAACTAGACCTCAATTAACTTGTATGACCCAAATATGGCATCTTTACCTATTACCATTCTCGAAATATAACGTAAAATCAATGGAGCATGACTGAGGAGTTGGAGGAAAAAAATTCCTTTTAAAATGGATTCAAATAATTTTTCCAAATATGCCCATGCTTTCACTTTCTCAATATGTCCTTTCAGAGGCCTGCAATAAGCCAAAATCACTAAAGCGTGACTGGGGAGTAAGAGAACAAAAATTTCTTCAGAACAATGTTAAACTAATTTTTCCAACCATACCTATCTATTTTATTTCTCAATAGCTCCATTTTTAAGTGCGCAACCTTCTTACGCCACTGGAGGGCGATTGGGAGGGGGAAACACCGATTTTTCAGTAAAGAAAATTTCAAATAATTATACTCTTTGAGAATTAGGCAAATCTTGGCCCAAAACCCCATTCACATGCCTCAGAATTGCCCAAAAACAATAGAACCTAAGTGGGCGTGGCTTTGCACGAGTTTTCTCACCACAGAGGGCGTGGGGGCACAGCCCCCACCGCCAAAAAGACTTGGAAAAATTCCTAATACTCGGGCAAACGCTTTCCGGCCCCGGAAACTTAGCTAAACGGCCTCTGAACCCCTAAATTACTCTAGCGTGACTTGATTGACAGCTGATTGACCAATGAACAGCCTCGGGCCACAAAAACCCCGTTTTGACCCCTTTCCTCTGGCCCGATCGTTTCCAAAAATTTTCTGCGTAATGCGGACAGGGATACCTGACTAACGTGCTAATCACCTACCTCATCAGCCCTACCCTACATAGTGGAAATGCTCATCAGTCGGTCTCCCACGCATAGAATTTTAACTTCCACCTCACGTGCAACGTTTTCTGATTTAGACTGTGCATTCGCACTTTCAGTGCGACAGGTTGCGAGACCATCAAGAAAATCTTTAGCATTTTTTGAAAAATCCGTTTACACTTCGACGTAGCAGTGAACGTTTTAGAAGTCACACAGACAGGTGCATTCATATTATTAGGTGAGTGAACACATAACATTGGCAAGACCATCCAATTAATATCCTGCACACCTTGGGCAGACTGAAACAACTGGATTTTTGACGTGAAATGGAACACTGTGAATCACAGTGTGATGGACAAATTGGTGTTGACGGTCACTGATGATCAAGTTCGGCTGCAGTATGAAACAGATCATTCACAAGGTGTAAAGAGAATAAAGAAAATTTATGGAAAGGTATTGCGGATAATGTTTTTTTAAAGGGATCAACATACAAACATTCAACGACCGTACATGACATTCGGCTGCTACGGGATGGGGCAAAATAAACATTTAATAATTAACCCTTTCCGTGCGGTGGGCACGTATACGTACCCACGACAAAACTCGCTAGTTTGCGGCGGGTACGTTGATGTACTCCACTGTTTTATTTAGCAATCGGTCGCAAACTGTTGGTCTAGTTTTTCCGGGTTTTAGTTTATTGATAAGAAGCCTTCTTCGAGATTAACATAAGCGACGGTAAATCTCGCTTTCGTTTACCATGGGAGTTTTATTTGCGGCGGAACGAGGGAGTGTTTTTGATTTATGCAAATTTCGGTGTTTTTTGGGTGGTAATAGAAGACATATTATCCCTTCCATCTACCAAAGTATTTTGAGTTAGATAACGAAATTGCTACAGTAATATTATGCTATTGTTTGCCAACCAAGAAGCGGTAACAGTAAAGGATTTAGCGAATATTTCTATTTTTTATCACGGCTTGAAGTTTCAACACCCAAGAAAAAAAATGTATTTTTTCTATCCTGTTTGTGACTCAGACCACCCCTTTTGAAAAAAAAAAAAAATTTTCAATCGCCAATTGCAAGCTCTTTAAATAAGCTTTCCAACGAGCCGTCAGTGGGCAGCAGAGGATCATTACTTTTTCGTTAGTCGATCGATTAGTTGTGGGGGTACAAATGCATAAAGTCGGCGTAGCAAATACGATTATTTAATAAAAAATAAAAATCGCATGGAAAGGGTTAACAGCGTATTGCTAACATATCAGCATATAGGCTACGGTACATATTGAATTGGCCATTATTACTGTAATAGATTAGGTGTTTCAAAAGTATAACAGCCCGGAAGTTCCTATACATTCGAGTATCTTTTGTTTGATTATTTCTGGCCTAAGCCTTGTTTTAACTAGGCTTGTATTTTTTGTAATTTATTTTTGTGTATGTGCTGGTGGGAGGGCACATGATATTTCGCATGTTTTGAACTTTTTTAAATGTTTCGCTCACCCTCCAGAATTCTCCATTTTAAATTTGTGTATATTGTGGAGTATTCGAATAAACTATCTATCTATATAACTGCAAATATATGTGCTTGGACCTCAGGTACTGCTGTGCGAGAAGATTTCTGGACTCCACGCCGACGTAGGGTGGTTTACGTAACCGCTGGTCGATTACGGTTTTTCAGACGAGAAGCCGTGGCCATATGATTATAGGCTTTCTTGCCCCCTGAATAAATATGTAAATTGCAAATCCTGCCCTTTCCCGAACGAGGGCATGATTTCTTGTCGTCATGGTTGATTAAACATGATTGACGGAGCTGGCTTTTGTTGACGTCATTCGTTCGATGTGCAGCTGAAGTGTTAGCTAATCCCAGTGCTGCTGTGCTGCAGTGGCTGAGTGGGGATGTAAGTTTCAGCATTTCAAAGCAATTTGAGAAAAAGGGGCTTCGTTCTATTAAAAAAAAATAACAATTTGGATAACGAGACTCGAGTCTGCGAGTCGTAGCACTACGGGCATCCCGGGGTTGATATACATTTCATCTGGGTCACAGCTTCCTGGCTTCAGAGAAACCAATGGTACCGGTATCGTTAAATATTTTTTAGATTATTTCAAATGTTAAGAATTTTTACAAATATGTCATTATATACCGGTACCTGTGTCCTATAATTACATATGTCTGTATGTAATGTTATTAGAATAAAACATTATTCCTCCTTAAAAACATAGTACGGTAGGTCTGCGATGGTTCCTCGTTATCATTTGCATTCTTTAAAATCACGTACTAATGCAGTATTGTTTGCGAACATAAATTTATGCAATACAGTAATAAGTATCGTAAATATAACTGAGTTTACACCTTGGTAACAGAAATAAATAATCTCTAATATATTATGAAGTTGAAGCATCAATCTGTCAATTCAATGTTTTCTTCTACTAACTTTACTCATTCTTCAAGTTCATTATTGTTATTTAATCACAATTTGTACTGTACGGTAGTTCTTCCAAATTTAAAAAAAGTTAATGATAATGTGATTTTGTACCATACTAAACAGAATCGGTTTCGGAAATATTCGCTTAGAAAATAAAATATTTGAAACTCAGATCCCCAGCCTGCCAGTGGTGACTGCTTATGGTTTCTGCCCTTCGATTAGTGCGGTAGGATTTTTGATTTTGTTGAATTATCTAATTATTCATTTCTAGAATTTGAGAAAACAGTTGTAAACGAAATACTGACCGATATTCATACTACCAATTTGTCTATTCAATGCCCAGATGTCTCACGCCATGGAAGAATGGGGAATAGAAGAGGATAAGATGGGAATGACCACTGTTTCTGGTACGGTCAAGCTCATGAAAGATAAGCAAAATTTGATTGGAATAAGCATTGGCGGAGGTGCACCCTTATGTCCATGTCTTTATATTGTACAAGTATTCGATAATACACCAGCTGCTAAGGATGGATCTTTGGCTGCAGGTGATGAAATTGTTGCTGTAAATAGCAAATCAGTCAAAGGGCTATCAAAGGTTCAGTTGGCTAAAACAATACAAAGCATAAAGGGTGAAGTCCGAATCAACTTTAATAAACTACATGCAGATCCTAAACAAGGCAAAACATTGGATATTGTTCTGAAAAAGATAAAGCACCGAATTGTTGAACAAATGGATTCAAGTACAGCAGATGCACTTGGATTAAGTCGTGCAATTTTATGCAATGATGTTTTGATTAAGAGACTTCAGGAAATGGAACAGATTGGTGGAGTATATCTTGGGCTCATTCTTCACATAAAGAAACTTCTAAAATCTTATTTTAATTTGTGTAAAACTCACCGTGCATTTGGAGATATTTTTGGTGAGATTGGTGTACGTGATCCAAACTTTAACGGAGGTGAGGCTTTCGGGAAGTTCAGCGAAGCTCATCGTAATTTTGAAAAGTCTGGCTTCACTTTGATGACAACTTTAAAACCAATGTTGAATGATTTGAATACATATCTCAACAAAGCTATTCCGGATACGAAAATGACAATCAGGCGCTATGCAGACACAAAATTTGAGTACTTGTCGTTTTGTCTCAAGGTGAAGGAAATGGATGACGAGGAATATAGTTATGCTGCATTACAGGAACCACTTTATCGCGTTGAAACAGGAAATTATGAATATCGCTTAGTTTTGCGATGTCGCCAAGATGCTCGAGAGCGATTTGCCAAACTTCGAAAAGATGTTATGGAAAAGCTAGAATTACTGGACAACAAACATGTACAAGATATCGTCCATCAGCTGCAAAGATTTGTTGCTGCTATTTCAAAGTATCATGATGACTGTCAAGCAAGTATGAAACAAGCTGATGTATTTCCAGTAGAAGTTGACTTGTCGAGTGCAACGTTCGAATATGATAAAAAAGACCGATTCCACGATCCGGAATATGAAGAGACTTTAGAATGAAAACGATGTTAATTGTCAACAATTCTAGTGCATATTACAGGTCAATTTGACCGGAATATCAAAAAAACAAAGGAAGTACTCTCTGTGTAAAATCTGAGAATTTTTATTAGGACCGTTTTGTAGTTTTGTCTGCTAATTCTTCGTATCCATATAGATTGGACCTCAAACTATTTATTCTATTGAAGCAATAACCTTTTTCAATTTACATGTGCATTTAATGTGAATTTTTGCTTTTTATTTCATCTGCTATCTTTGCGTAGAATTTTACTGCATAAGATAGTTTTGGAAGTTTTCTTTTATTGAATATATAAATTATGAAATGTAAAACAATGTGTCTGCAATATTGTGCTCATTTTGTCTGAAGTTTTCATTTTTTTGAATGTGTCTGATTAAAATTTTGTTGCCAAATGGTATGTATACTTTAAGAAGAGATTTTGTTATTTCATTTAAACTAGTACTGTTAAATCAAATGGTGAATTATGTTCATTTTATACATCAAACGCAGTGTGATGTTTCACTCTGTATGATTAATTTCAAAATATTAAATGAATAATACTTGAAATTCATGGCTGCTTTAATCGTTTTTGTCAATATAAATCAAATCCCGATACATAGTAATGATTCTAATGAAGATGAATTGTGCTGAAGGATGAATTGCATGCTAAGTTCTATGTTTTCCCATTTATTGTGCATGTATTGTATGGTTGGTGATTATGTGCAATTACTTGTCCTTGATTAAGATATAAGATGCTGTAAATTGTATGTTGTTTTCTTTTAGTATTTTATTAACTTACTAATTAATACCGCACCTATTATTTATAATGGGAAAAGAAAAAGGTGGATTTTTAACTCCCAAGGCTATCGCAAATCGCATTAAATCGAAAGGTTTGCAAAAATTACGATGGTATTGTCAAATGTGCCAGAAGCAATGCAGAGATGAGGTAGGTTTCAAAAAATATGTCCTAAATATATTCTTTTCATACTATTATCCCTCTATCCACTTTTTCTATTTGCTTTGCCATGACATCAGACTTTGAACCTACATCTAATGAGTTAGTTCTAACTAATAAGCTATTCTAATATGCCATCCTAACATAACTAGTAGCTCAAAACTCTGAATAACATGATATATTGTCATGACAGAATGGTTTCAAATGTCATTGCATGTCAGAATCTCATCAAAGACAACTATTGCTGGTTGCAGAGAAACCAGGTGCCTTCAATGACCATTTTTCAAATGAATTTTTGAAAGAGTTTATGGAGTTATTGAAGCGTCGTTTCAACACTAGAAGAGTTCACAACAATGTGGTATGCATATATTATTAGAAAATTTTTGCTAAATCATACATTGCCATAAATGTTGATACTATTAAAGGGCTATTATAAAACTTATTTGAACTTATTATTCAAAAAGTTGAATACCTGGTACAATCGAACTTGAAGATCATCTCAATATTATTTGTTGTTTTAGGTTTACAACGAATATATTGGATTCAAGGAACATATTCATATGAATTCAACAAAATGGGTCACACTTACTGAATTTACAAAGTGGCTGGGACGTGAAGGTACATTAAATTAGGTTAGGTATATTTTCCTTTTACTAAATATTCAATTTAAAAAGTATAACCACCGGTACCCATGAAATGATTGTCATTATTGAGGACTCTGTTATTGTGCAAATAGGTTATTGCAAGGTTGACCAAACAGAGAAAGGATGGTTCATACAATACATTGACAGAGATCCTGAAGTTATTAGAAGGCAGAAAGAACTCGAAAAAATTAAAAAAAAGGAAAAAGACGATGATGAAAGACATGCAAGGTAAGTTTCAGCCTTGTGAAGTTGTGAGTAACTGATTTTCTTTTCCACTCTCTTGAGACATATTGTTTCCTCTTCAGTTTATTGTAATATATTCTTTTTTGTTATGGAAAGTTTTCTGAATATTTTTATCATTGCTTTCAGAGCTATTGAGGATATGGTTCGTAGAGGTAAAGAGAGAGATGGGGATGAAAATGAACTAGAATTACCTTCAACGAGTAACGAATTGCAGAGGGAAGATGAAGATCAAAAAATAACTTTTGCAATGCAGACCCCGTCTGTCTCTTCCAAAAAAGCCTCTACAGCAGCCAAACCGAGGGTTGATATTGCAAAATCTGAGAAAGTGTTTAATTCAGCGTCAGGACAATATCATAAAATGAATAATAAGAAGCGGAAGAAGACAGCTTTAGAAGAAATCATGGATGTGAGTTGGGAATATTATTCATGTCTAAAATCTATTATAGTCGGCTCAGACCAAAAATTGTGCTGAAATTAACTAAAGCATTTGATATTCCTGACTTTTACATCAATCATCCTTTCCCTGGGTGAGCTAAATATGGTTCTTCCAGTCGTTAATCAAACAACTTCTCCAGATGTTACTGTATTTACAATGAGTGTACAATGATCATTGCATTGCATGTCTGAGTTTCATTTACTCTTGTGACAAGATAGCTTATTGAGCTACTTATCGGATTTGGTTTGGTAATTGATGACAAACAATTCAGATGCGTCTATAAAAGATGAGGGAGCTTAAGTTTAACAATCCTTTTGGATTAAATATATCTCAGGACTCAAGCGTGCTATAGCTATTCTGCAAAGACAGTATTATTAAGAAGGCAAGCGTATTCCTAATGCTTTTCATGTTCTACAAACATATGAGCTAGAATCTTAAAGAAAAGCCTGCTTTTATTTTGGTAAATAAAGTATTAAATTATATACATTGAATAATCTTTTCTATTGCTTACAGGAGGAAGAGAAAAAACGCAAAATTGTCAAAAAGACTGACTACTGGTTGACCACTGACATTATTGTAAAAGTTATAACAAAAAGATTAGGTGAAAAATATCATAAAAAGAAAGGTGTTGTATTAGATGTTACTGAAAAGTGAGTTTGATTTCTGATAAGGTTGCACAAATTGAAGTTATGTTTGCTAATTCATTACTTTTATTTCAGATATACCGCAATTATAAAGATGATCGATACTGGTGCCAAGATTAAGGTCGACCAAATGCATGTTGAAACTGTTTTGCCAGCTTTAGGTGAGAAGATAACTTATTTATACAACAAAAACTGAGGAAAACTCAGTATTGTAATGTTAATTTACTGTTTCAGGTAAAACTGTTCTTATCCTAAACGGAGCATATCGCGGATCAACTGCAACTCTTGAGAATGTAAATGTTGAACAATTCAATGCCACTGTCAAAATATCTGAGGTAAGTGCAGCACTCTTTCCATTTTGTATGGGAAAGGCTGTTGTTTTACCGCCGAGAATGAACTTCTCTTCATCCCTACGTACTTATTTTTGTGATAATCGGACTTCGTTAATTCTGAGTTCGTGTTTCATCATCATATTAATAATATTGCAGGGCCCACTTGCTGGTCGAAAAGTTGACGCCATTCCATATGAAGATATTAGTAAGAAGCATGAATCGTTAAGATGAATGAATGTGGATTGCATATTTTTCAACAATTAATTTGATAAAACATGTTTACATAGGGCAATGGGGAAGTTTTGATGCAACTCTTATTGCAGTCGCAAACCTCCTATGGTTATACCTGATAAGCAAATTTTTTAATGATTTTGAATTAAATCAATATTTTATAAATATCTTGGTCTTTTTGTGTCAGCATAGCTTTATAAAAGAAACGAAACTTGAAAATATCGACCGGAGTGAAATTATGTTGTCTCCAAACTAAAACTCGTAATAGTCGTCGTCTTTCAACATATATGGCGGAGATAGGTCGACTTTTGCAGGTAACGGTAGGTTCCGCCGCCTATGAGTATATAGTACAACTTATAGCGGCGATGAAATACGTGATAAAATCGGTAAATATCTGCGATTCGAAAATAATTGCATGTGCTGGAAGTATTCATTAAATTTGAAATTAGTCCAGCTGAGCTGAGAGACGACAAAGATATATTTTCTGTAATTCGCTGTGATGCAACGATATATGTAGGGAAAGTCGCTGCCTGGAAACCCAGATAAGGTTTAAACGCGCAATGTTAAAGTATAAAGAGGATAGGATTTACATATTTATCCCGGGGGAGAGGAAAGCCGATAAGACGGCTTAATCATATGGCGAACCACGGCTTCTCGTCCGGTTATCCCAGGATTCACTGTCATTTGGCAGAGGTGGTCGGAGTCGCGCAAGAATAGCCAAATCTGACCCAACTGGCAATATTTTCGTCCAAACAACATCTCTGAATAGCCTTCTAGCAGCATTAGCCATTTTTTAGTGTTGAAAATTCAACTCCCAACAATGAAACTGTCATTTAAATTCCAACCTGTTATACCTATGATTAGGACGTTTTATGAAATTTCTTCACTGCGAGGATCAAAATCTAACACTATATTTGCAGCTGTATGAATATCTTAAAAGTGAAGGATTCAACGTTTGGATGGATATTCACAGAATGAATGGCTCTACATTGAAATCTATGACAGAAGGTGTTGAAAATGCATCAACTATAGTCATGTGTGTTACTGAAAATACCAAAAGAGTCATATTAGCAAAAGAGTTGGTAGGAAAGAAAAATTGAAAATGACAGCATGATAAATATCCTTAAATCACACACACTGACACTTGACTTTAGCATTTACCAACAACACTTTACCGATGATTGGCAATATAACTTTCATGTTCATTCGTTACTTTACAGAATCAGAATACGCTACTGGGAAAAAAGTACCTATACTTCCCCTGATGTTCGATCCAGGTTATAGGCCGAACGGGTGGCTAGAAATAAATATGGGAGTAGCATTGTATGTAGAAGTTGATAAAAATGAACCATTAAAGAAATTTTCTAAAGAATAAAACTCAGATTGAACAAACCCAAAAAATTTATTCCATTCATCGGAATAATTGTCCAAACGATTATGGTTTACATTACGTGAGCAATCATTTAGTTGTCAACATGTTGACGAAATAAAACTTTTCTCTGTTTCACGCGATACTTGTATTCATGCAGCATAGTTATATACCCTATATGTCATCAAATAATTATGTCGGCAGTAGTTTTAGCAATATCGTTATAATTCTACTTCAGCGTATGTAGATCTGGTAATACTGAGTAAGGCTACGGAGATTACAAGTCATAGCTAGAGAAAATTTCGAACCAATGCTTTTAAATTCTTGTTGCTTCATTTAAATTTGGATCTACTTCCAGTCTCTCTGAAGTTATTTTTTCTAATAAGTTGATTAAATTATGGCAACATAACAGTTCATAACCCATATCAACTTGAACAGACGATTCCTATTTATTACCAGACTTTGTTGTATTTATTTTTTATAGTTTCACACTGTTAAAATATTTAATAATTAAAAAATAACTGAAAAAACAGATGAATCAAGATAAACAAATTCAAAATAAAACCCTAATATATACATCAGCAGCAGAGTTGTTCCAACAAGTTCCTTTTTCCCAAACTATCAATAGTACTCCATTGCTATATTCATTAAGTTGATTTCACAAACCTAATTTACTCATACGAAAATAAAAATAATTTTGCGTGTCACTTGAACTTTTTTGTGTATGACCATACAGCAAAGTTTCAGGAATGCAGGACGCTTTATACAGAAGTTATGTTATCTTTAAAATATGTTCCAAACGACCTCTTTGGCGTTGGAGACAGACTTGAATCCGTGTGCAAATAATGTTAATTGTAAATCATTCACGCGGTTTTCTGCAGAAGCGCACTTTTTGCTGTTGGAACATGTACATCACTAATTTGGTTTTCTGCAAAAGCGCACTTTCTGCTATTAGAACATGTCAATAGCACAAAAAATGTTGACTGAGGTACAGCACCTCCGAAGAAGGTCTTACAGATAGGGTTTTGTTTTTTATCAATTCTAAAAAAAACATCGTGTTAAAACAAGTGCACAAGCAGCCAGAATTATAATTTCAAAAATGCAAGTAAATTTTTTTATTTTGATTTTTACTTCTATTGCGTACAATCATCGCCACGTTTGTATCTCCAACAAAGTCATAAGATTTTACCCGGAATGTTTAGCCGAGATATCAGAGTGATGTTTTGAGTAAGAAAAATTGACATATTGACTTTTTTCCCATAAAATGAAGGCATTGTTATGATTATTACTGTTCGGTTAATTTATGCCTAGCATACTTCGTTTTTAAGGTTGAAGTGATAGAGTTTTTCAAAGTTATACAAACAAATTTATTCGATCGAATATTAATTTTCGCAAGGTGGTTTCATCGCAGCAGGGCCGTTCGCGTAATGACTTATCGGTTGCCTCTTACTGCGCCAACCACTGAACTACAGTTTGAGAAGGTGTGCATGAGCCTCTATCGATATTTGTGGCGTTTTGAAAGATTTATTGCAAATAAGAAGCGCTTGGCAAGTTTTTACATTCATATTTTTTCAACCTATTTAATACAAAAAAATCAAATAGTACAACCATTTGGAACAAAACAGGCAAAAAAAACTTGATTTAAAACAATTGTTTTAAAACATTTCTTTTCGAACAAATCCCTACTTACAGAGATCGTTACACTCAGTTAGGTGCTGGCATACCCATTGCGTAATCAGTTCCAAACATTGCATAATTAGTCTGAAGACAAAAATGGAAAAGCTCAAAAAGAACGTTGCGTGGTGGTGCTTGGGAAGTTCAGAAAATCACTTGGACAATTGATTGAGATGACCAGTGGTTCCAGCGAGACAATATCTTTAAATAATTGGATAAATCTAAAATCTTAGAATTCGTCATAGAAGAGTGTGTGCACTTGATTGATATTTTTGCGCAACGGATACAAGTCTGTCTCCTACGCCGGGGAGGCCATTTGGAACATATTCTAAAGAGAGCATAACTTGTCCTAATTTCTGTAAACTTTGGTGTACAATCATAAACAAACAGAAGGTAATTTATGAAAATAAATAAATCACTCTATTTTTATGTCGTTACCCTATAAATTTCTCTAAATATTGTAAGTCATAGTGAAACAAGTCGAAAGTTTCGATATATTATTTTATCAAGATGTTGTCCCAATTTTTATATTCCTCTTGTAGCGAGAGTTTCGAATTTTTTATTATAACACTACTAACTCTTGGACTTGCATTTAGAAAATTACTGCATTTCTTTCAAACAAAATTTTATACAGAACACAGACATAATATTATTACGTTCAAAACTCGATGAATACGGAACAGTACTTATTTGCAGTAACATATAATGATATATAAATATTTTTCAATATACAAAGATTAATTTTCAATCCATGGGAAAAAGGACCTTTGGTGAGAGAAGCGAAGTTTCAAAATAAATGTGAAACAATTTAAGGTGCATATGTACAAAGTGCACATAGTTTTTTATCAGAAAATAATGCTTTACCTTTGACTCCATTTCAAAAAAAAAGTATATCCCACATTCACTTAAAATTTGAAGTCTTCATTTCATTATATCCGATATTGGCAATGTTTATTTGAACATGCCCTCTTCAAACTATTTGAACCCCTTCCATCGAATTATTTACAATATTATTATAGGCCAACTTTTTTGTAATATTTTATATTCTTAAAAAATGGGTCATGGCTTCATGGAGAGAAAAAGCAGGTGATACATTAGTATTTACAGATGTTAAAGAATCAACTAAGCTGACAGTTCTCGCATTATTCAAACAATATTTTAGTTTTCATTACATTTGGCAGAATATATATACGACTTTTATAGAATATTTAAAGTTGGCACAACAGAAAATTTAAAAATAATTTAGCAAGGATTGATTTTATTGCAAACGTGTACAAAATAGGCTTCAAGGATATCCTTGTCGAACACCTTTCTTATTTTTGACAATTTTGCTCGTATAGCCAATTAAAATACCCCGAGTCTTTAAATAAGTATATATAGGCTTGATGTACTTTTATTATTTTATCCTTGAATTCAATCTTATAAAGCACGGTAATGCGCTATCAAAAGCATTATTGAAATTCAGTGGTATTGTTAGAGATTCTCTGTTTTTATTTTGCTCAAGAATACTTAAGAATGCAGGTTTGTTAAATATTTTTCATCCCTAAATTTTTGTTGATGTATATAAATATTATATATGGTAGAAATTATTTCAAACTATTTGATTAATGTCTTCGTTAGGATTCTGTAATCAGTATTTATCAACGATATTGGTCCATAGTTTTTATATTATGCAGTTCACCTTTGTACGGATTAAAATTGTATATCCTTTTTTATTATGCCGTAACAAAAGAGCAAGGATTGAATATATGCTATAAAAATATGGCTCAAATAAAAATACACATCACTGCTGAGTGCTGACTAACATGGCCAAGAACAATAAAAATTCCTACATGGCGTGCCCAGCAGCAAGCCGTTGACTACAAAACTATTGTTTTACAAGATTATTTTCTGTTGGAAGCATTTAGTGAAGAATTACTGGTTTAATGTTATGAGAAGAATTCTACAATTAAGTACATGTGATTAGGGTTGGGATTTCGGGACCAATTTTTGAAATCCCGGTATCGGGATATCCCGGGATTGAGCCGTATAATCCCGGGATTTTTCGGCATTAATTAAAAGATTGAAACAACTTGCATGACAATAAAATCACGTATTTATCGCGAGACGCGAGAAACCAGTACTGGTTATCGAGTAGCGGCACCCATAAAAAAGGCTAACACCATATTATAAAGAAGAAAAAGTCGAACTAAGTAGGCCTATGTGTAAATTGAAAAAATCCAGGTCACTGGTTTCCAACCTTTTATTTTAATATCGCGGCAAACTATTCAGCTCTTTCAATATTCGCGACACACCTATCACAAAACACGAACATTTTCTACTCATAAAGAGTGCGATAGTCGAATGCGAACAAATGGTTAATAGTTACCGATATTGCAAACGAGAGCGTCTCCGGAGCACCTCACATTATGGTAAAAATTCAATAGTGTATTGTCAGCTCTTGCGAGAGAATTGAAATAGTCAAACAAACTGTATTTCATTACAACAATTAATGATTATCGCAAAAACGCTAAATAGGTTTAAAGTTGTTATAAAAATTTTCACCGCTGGACGTATCTTTTCACGTTATAAATTTTGTGCAAGGCCCGAGCATGATTTGATGGCAAAGATCAGAGCATTTACTATTTCGAAACGCTTATTCGACTTTTTTTTTGTGTCCACGACATGAAATAATCGTCAATTCCACCACGCTTTCGGGAAGCAGTGCAATTTACTAAATTTACGAAGATTTTATTAAGTTTCATTGCATCAGTGTTTGGACTACCACGCGTTTCGCCAGATTACTGTCGTAAGTACAGTTCGCAAGAGTGGACAAAATAGTATATTTTCATCGGATCAAATAATGTTAACGAATTTTCGAACATCGGGTTGAACTCGGTATTTTATTCCGAGTTTTATCTTTTGGGTCGACTTTGATCTTTCTTGTCACCATTTGTAAATTAACTGATTTTTAACTGATTCCTAATTTTAAGCTAAAAATATTATCATTTCTGACGCCGGATGCGGATGTATATGAAGATAGCTGACCTTCTTGATTTTACTTTTCTATTGTGGCTGTTTTATTTTCGTAGTAAAGAGTAAATAAAAACCCTGCAAAGTCATTGCGTGAAGCCGTGAGTCCTGAATGGTATTTTGAGTTCAAATTATGATTAAATAAGTCAATCAAATAATAAATCATTGGTAAAATTTAAGAAAAAATTCGCACAATAATTTCACTTAGTCTGACTGACTCGAACTGTAAGCGTGGAGTTTATTTTTAAATAAGTATCGAATAGAACGGTATAACCATTTATGATAATATCTAGTGGCGTAGCCAGGATGGTTGGTTCTGTCGGTCGAACCCCCCCCCCCCCTTTTGAAAAAAATAAAAATCATTTTTCTGCATCATAGATAGCAATTTTCCGTAGCTTAAAATGCTTTTTAGACCCTCAAGACTAATAAAAACACGCGTATTCCAGCGTTCGATCGGACCCGCTAGCTTTTTCGATCTAACTTGGCAAATAAAAATTTCAGAACCCTCCCCCCCTTTGAAAATCCCGAAATTTTTAGGAAATAATTGTGGCATCGGGATTGGAAAAAACAGTCCAAATCCCGGAAAATCGGGATCGGGATTTCCCGGGGTCCCAACCTTACATGTGGTAGTCGTAAACTTCCTTGCTCTAAATGTAGAACTTCATTTCTTGTTTATTTCAAAAAATTAGTTTAAACTTGCAATAAATAATTTTGTTATTAATAAATCTAATTCCTATAAAAAAGACCACAATTTTTCCAAAGTTATGCTGCAACGATGGTTTTCAGTATTACGCAAGATTTAATGGGAGTAGTTTGCTTTGCTAAGATAATTTGTTCCGGCTCAAAAGGCGTTTACGCAGTTTATGATGTTTACGCCGGTCAGCTAACGCCACGGCACAATTTTCTTAATATGACACGACTACTTGAGTATGAAAAAGATCCTGCATGTAACAGGAGGTTTAGGTTAAGAGGATTATCATTTTCACTTATCCCAATAATTATATTAAACATATTTATACTGAGTCTTTGATTAGTACCCTGGGTTCATTGAAGATGTCTCAGGGTTTGAAAAGAGTCTACACCATTATAAAAATGTAATTCAAATACATTGTAATAAAGGAAGTTCATAAAAATCGTTAGGAATTTTTTCATGTATTTTATTACCTTTGACGAAATCATATTTATAGGACAGATTGTGTTGCATCAATTAGTCAGTAAATTCCATCATTGTACGCACGGAGTGTCAATTTAGCGTCAAGGGACAGGAACGTCGTTTCAATCAATATTGCAACATATTTTTAAAATTGCTTCGATTCGATTCCAATTGAATTTGAAAATTCTGCAACCCACATTTCCACATGTGACTCAAACTTGCTTTAAAGTCTTGTAAAAACAACACCTGCCTAACATTTTATATTCCTTTTGCAAATTGAGGGCTCAATGCAATGGCATTGATTTTATATATCATTATATCAAATTGTCAAACTTTGACCTTGAGTCATCGTTGCTTGAAACAGGTATGTCCAACACAGCAGAGAAAATATTTTACCAAAAGCAAATAAAGTAGACAGAGCGATAATTTACTTCACTTATTTCCCGTTTCTCTCGTCATTTAGCGCAATTTCCCCTACATATACTCTAAAATGCACATACTATACCAAGCCAAATATAAAAATAAAATTTCAGATTTCCGTTTATTGCAAGACATTCATATCAGGCGATACTCTTACAATTGTAGCTATATATCAACGTTGTTGTTAGCAATATATTTTCATTGATATTGGGGCATTATTTTGTGATATATACTGATAAAAACGCTGAACGGGTTTTCACTTAAGCGGTTTAATCAAGAGGACACAGAATACAATACTTGTTGGAGACTTAAATATTTGAGCTAAAGTTCACGAAGCCCATTCATCTCCGATGCATATTTTCAAAAATACAGAAAAACCGAAGCAAATTTGCAACGCCGTGCGAATGATTTCCGTTCATGTCATGTTCGCTCACGAACCAAAACATCTGCAGTCTGAAGTTATTCGTGTCTGTACCTAATCTTATTCATTTCGCTGAGTTCGAGATGAAGAGAGCATTATTTTTGTTGAAATTATCTGTTTTATCTGTGGTCGTTAGAGGGGGAAATGTATGTAATGTTCCCCATAGCAAAAACCAGATTGATTGGGATAAGGTATGTTATAGTTTTTATTAAATTGTTTTGGAAGTATTTTAATATTGTAAGTGTTTTATATGGAAATGTTGTAACCGAACATCAATTCAAAGAATAAGGTATTAGGAATAAAACGGACGAATAAAAGTTTTTTGGTGCTCCTGAAGTATGCACACCAAGATGTCGCCTAACCTGAACCCTAATTGGTACACAACCTGAGTTCAGGTTGTGCGCCATCTTGGTGCGCATACTTCAGGAGGTCCAGTTTTTTTTTAAAACTTTTGAATTTAACGACTTCAAATTTTCAGTATTTTAAGATGGAAACACCGCTAGCATTCGATCATTTTTGTTTTAATTGTTTTTTAATTCTCTCAGAGTCCTATTGGAATGACCGCTAATTTTTCAGCAAACTAGCTGCTGAGCTATGCTAATTCCGGACCAGCATCAATTCCATAGCGTGCTTCGTTTCCATATATATTTTTGAGAATTTCTCTTTTATCCATTCAGATACCAAGAAATTGGTATCTTGCATTCGACAATGGAGATCCTATCACAAGTGACTTGGAGTGCAAAACAGCTCTGGACATGAAGTTAACAACAACCGGGTACAAGTTTACCGCAAAGTACTTTGTGAACGGGTAAATATTTATATTTTACACTATCAAGTATGAGTTTAATTGATTTCACGAATTATCAAGAAAAATGGTGTAGCAGGTGTTCATGATTCTTTGGATCATTGATGAAAAAAAATTGGCATCGGGTTGAAATTGTAAATTTAGGGTTGCAACTAAAATGACAACATTGGGGCAGAAATTGGAATTTTGGAATCTTTTGAATTTTTTTTATAAATTAAACAGATTTAATAGAAAAATATTGCCATATTTCATCTTTAGAAAAAAAGAGGGCGAAGTTGAAGTAACCAAATATCTTCAACCCAATGGAAACTACAACAATCTTTTTCCAAACGGTTTGCTTATCTCAATTTTTTTTCTTTATTTATTTTTTATTCATATTTCACGCATGCCAAAGCTGTAAAAATAATGCTATGTGAAGCAACTTAACATTATTACTTCCTAAGCATATTTTATACATTCAGGAAAATATGTTTACAATCGTAATGGAAAATTGAACAACGAAGCTGTCATCGAAGGTTGGATTTTGGTTAAAATCTTATATTTGAAACGAATATGAGCGTAGTTTTAAAAGTCAAAACATATAAGCAAATATCAGATCTTAAATGATATTATATTGTGCTTATATATATGAATAAATAAATAAATCTGAATCAATTTGGTGCAACAAATAGGAGCCATATAAGTTATGCAATTTCGTTTGGTCACGTTCTCAAGAGCGGGCAACAAATTGACGCTGATTAAAAGTACGAAACATATATAACATTAGAAATATAGTTCAAGAAGTTTGGGTATTATGTCTACCTTGGTTCAATATTCCCATTTGAAATGAATCTATTATTTTCATTTGTTTATATAACGTAGAAAATCGACTGAACAGTCGCGAAGGCGAGACATTTCACTTAACGGACAATGAATCTTACTTCTTTCACATTAGCTGCGATGAAAAAGGTAAGGCATTTGTTATTAGTAAGTTGAAGAGTGCGTACATGTAATATCCTAATTGTCTCATTGTTAGATGGATACATGTAGCAAAATTAACTTACCGCCAGTTTCAAAATTGTCGTATGCATGTAGTTATTATCTTATGTTGCTCTTGATAATTTCTTATTAAGTCGTGCATAATAGCTTTTGCAACATTGATTTATGTAGACTACTGGGTTGAATGTGTTTTTTGAATATGGATAGATCCGATAAAACATGCAGCTGGTAAAACTCACCTTACCTTTTCACAATAACTATTTGAGCTTTGCTATTTAAAATTAACGAAAGAGTAACAAGAGCAGAAAGAAAAATCAAATTATTCTTCTATCAAATTTATACCAAATTTGCTATTTTCAGGTGGTTACATCATATGGGCTTTTACTGCGACTCCTAATCCAGATGTTCCAACCATTATCAGCGCTATTAACGCTCTCAGCGATTTTGGAATTCGACCGAAATTCAAGCTTTCGGGATGTTCCGACAAGTTGATTGACTTTACAAAATAAGCTAAAAGAATTATATATATATATATATATATACAGTATATGTATTTAAACATTTATACAGAAGAAATTGTACCTTTGCAATTGTAGTACCGTGCTGCTATTTCTACCTTAATTGCGAGTCTGTGTAAATTTTCTGGAAAGATAAAAGTAACCGGCCGTGTCGACTTAATCCGGTTGACAATTCGTAATACTGTTGTTTGCTTGTATTCTAAAGACAAAATTTTACTTGTTGTTCTGCGTCATTTGTTACTTTCAGGTCACCTGTACGGTTGTTTCGGGAAATTGGAAAGAAACATTTTTGGTTGTACTAGGATATTTTATTAACTACAGCAGATAGGTTGGCTTCCTGCATCCCACTAAGTACTATACCCATACCGCATGAAAAGGTCAAAAATATTTGCTTCATACAAAGAACTGTAGATTTTAATAAACAAACAAATTTATAAAATTTGTATAATTGGTCCCCCCCCCATTTTCGTAACACCACATTGTCTCCAGTATTTTTTTCGGATGAAACATCATCATTTACCAAAATACCTGAATGAACAGAAATTACATAATCTTCACTTGTAGCACTGCTGCTATTCGAGGCCTGGCGTTTTCCTCCTTTGTTAGGTTTCATTTTCTTAAGCTGTTCCAACCTTGTCTTTTCCGGTGTTCTTGTTATAATTGCGGGTTTTAATTTTCTTTTGTTGGATCTTTTATTCGACGAAGAAACCCTCGGAAAAGGACGAATGCTTCTTATTATATATATCGATGTCGCTCGATGCCGATATGTCTAAATCGGACAGAGACGATGTTGTGTTATTGGCTTCTGGGTCTGTTTGGTGAGGCACTTCATCACGAAACGACAAAATTTCACGCTGTACAGAAATGTCGGTAACCGCCGAAGGCAAGAACGCGTCGTCAGGAAAAATATTTGGATCGAACGAGTACACTCCAGTTGCACGAATCCAGATGTAATGTTTAAGATACTGAACGAACGGGTGAAGGCGGGTGAAGACTCAAACTGCTTTAAAGTCTTGTAAAAACAACACCTGCCTAACATTTTATATTCCTTTTGCAAATTGAGGGCTCAATGCAATGGCATTGATTTTATATATCATTATATCAAATTGTCAAACTTTGACCTTGAGTCATCGTTGCTTGAAATAGGTATGTCCAACACAGCAGAGAAAATATTTTACCAAAAGCAAAATAAAGTAGACAGAGCGATAATTTACTTCACTTATTTCCCGTTTCTCTCGTCATTTAGCGCAATTTCCCCTACATATACTCTAAAATGCACATACTATACCAAGCCAAATATAAAAATAAAATTTCAGATTTCCGTTTATTGCAAGACATTCATATCAGGCGATACTCTTACAATTGTAGCTATATATCAACGTTGTTGTTAGCAATATATTTCATTGATATTGGGGCATTATTTTGTGATATATTACTGATAAAAAACGCTGAACGGGTTTTCACTTAAGCGGTTTAATCAAGAGGACACAGAATACAATACTTGTTGGAGACTTAAATATTTGAGCTAAAGTTCACGAAGCCCATTCATCTCCGATGCATATTTTCAAAAAATACAGAAAAACCGAAGCAAATTTGCAACGCCGTGCGAATGATTTCCGTTCATGTCATGTTCGCTCACGAACCAAAACATCTGCAGTCTGAAGTTATTCGTGTCTGTACCTAATCTTATTCATTTCGCTGAGTTCGAGATGAAGAGAGCATTATTTTTGTTGAAATTATCTGTTTTATCTGTGGTCGTTAGAGGGGGAAATGTATGTAATGTTCCCCAAAGCAAAAACCAGATTGATTGGGATAAGGTATGTTATAGTTTTATTAAATTGTTTTGGAAGTATTTTAATATTGTAAGTGTTTTATATGGAAATGTTGTAACCGAACATCAATTCAAAGAATAAGGTATTAGGAATAAAACGGACGAATAAAAGTTTTTTGGTGCTCCTGAAGTATGCACACCAAAGATGTCGCCTAAACCTGAACCCTAATTGGTACACAACCTGAGTTCAGGTTGTGCGCCATCTTGGTGCGCATACTTCAGGAGGTCCAGTTTTTTTTTTAAAACTTTTGAATTTAACGACTTCAAATTTTCAGTATTTTAAGATGGAAACACCGCTAGCATTCGATCATTTTTGTTTTAATTGTTTTTTAATTCTCTCAGAGTCCTATTGGAATGACCGCTAATTTTTCAGCAAACTAGCTGCTGAGCTATGCTAATTCCGGACCAGCATCAATTCCATAGCGTGCTTCGTTTCCATATATATTTTTGAGAATTTCTCTTTTATCCATTCAGATACCAAGAAATTGGTATCTTGCATTCGACAATGGAGATCCTATCACAAGTGACTTGGAGTGCAAAACAGCTCTGGACATGAAGTTAACAACAACCGGGTACAAGTTTACCGCAAAGTACTTTGTGAACGGGTAAATATTTATATTTTACACTATCAAGTATGAGTTTAATTGATTTCACGAATTATCAAGAAAATGGTGTAGCAGGTGTTCATGATTCTTTGGATCATTGATGAAAAAAAATTGGCATCGGGTTTGAAATTGTAAATTTAGGGTTGCAACTAAAATGACAACATTGGGGCAGAAATTGGAATTTTGGAATCTTTTGAATTTTTTTTATAAATTAAACAGATTTAATAGAAAAATATTGCCATATTTCATCTTTAGAAAAAAAGAGGGCGAAGTTGAAGTAACCAAATATCTTCAACCCAATGGAAACTACAACAATCTTTTTCCAAACGGTTTGCTTATCTCAATTTTTTTTCTTTATTTATTTTTTATTCATATTTCACGCATGCCAAAGCTGTAAAAATAATGCTATGTGAAGCAACTTAACATTATTACTTCCTAAGCATATTTTATACATTCAGGAAAATATGTTTACAATCGTAATGGAAAATTGAACAACGAAGCTGTCATCGAAGGTTGGATTTTGGTTAAAATCTTATATTTGAAACGAATATGAGCGTAGTTTTAAAAGTCAAAACATATAAGCAAATATCAGATCTTAAATGATATTATATTGTGCTTATATATATGAATAAATAAATAAATCTGAATCAATTTGGTGCAACAAATAGGAGCCATATAAGTTATGCAATTTCGTTTGGTCACGTTCTCAAGAGCGGGCAACAAATTGACGCTGATTAAAAGTACGAAACATATATAACATTAGAAATATAGTTCAAGAAGTTTGGGTATTATGTCTACCTTGGTTCAATATTCCCATTTAAGAAATGAATCTATTATTTTCATTTGTTTATATAACGTAGAAAATCGACTGAACAGTCGCGAAGGCGAGACATTTCACTTAACGGACAATGAATCTTACTTCTTTCACATTAGCTGCGATGAAAAAGGTAAGGCATTTGTTATTAGTAAGTTGAAGAGTGCGTACATGTAATATCCTAATTGTCTCATTGTTAGATGGATACATGTAGCAAAATTAACTTACCGCCAGTTTCAAAATTGTCGTATGCATGTAGTTATTATCTTATGTTGCTCTTGATAATTTCTTATTAAGTCGTGCATAATAGCTTTTGCAACATTGATTTATGTAGACTACTGGGTTGAATGTGTTTTTTGAATATGGATAGATCCGATAAAACATGCAGCTGGTAAAACTCACCTTACCTTTTCACAATAACTATTTGAGCTTGCTATTTAAAATTAACGAAAGAGTAACAAGAGCAGAAAGAAAAATCAAATTATTCTTCTATCAAATTTATACCAAATTTGCTATTTTCAGGTGGTTACATCATATGGGCTTTTACTGCGACTCCTAATCCAGATGTTCCAACCATTATCAGCGCTATTAACGCTCTCAGCGATTTTGGAATTCGACCGAAATTCAAGCTTTCGGGATGTTCCGACAAGTTGATTGACTTTACAAAAATAAGCTAAAAGAATTATATATATATATATATATATCAGTATATGTATTTAACATTTATACAGAAGAAATTGTACCTTTGCAATTGTAGTACCGTGCTGCTATTTCTACCTTAATTGCGAGTCTGTGTAAATTTTCTGGAAAGATAAAAGTAACCGGCCGTGTCGACTTAATCCGGTTGACAATTCGTAATACTGTTGTTTGCTTGTATTCTAAAGACAAAATTTTACTTGTTGTTCTGCGTCATTTGTTACTTTTCAGGTCACCTGTACGGTTGTTTCGGGAAATTGGAAAGAAACATTTTTGGTTGTACTAGGATATTTTATTAACTACAGCAGATAGGTTGGCTTCCTGCATCCCACTAAGTACTATACCCATACCGCATGAAAAGGTCAAAAATATTTGCTTCATACAAAGACTGTAGATTTAATAAACAAACAAATTTATAAATTTGTATAATTGGTCCCCCCCCCATTTTCGTAACACCACATTGTCTCCAGTATTTTTTTTCGGATGAAACATCATCATTTACCAAATACCTGAATGAACAGAAATTACATAATCTTCACTTGTAGCACTGCTGCTATTCGAGGCCTGGCGTTTCCTCCTTTGTTAGGTTTCATTTTCTTAAGCTGTTCCAACCTTGTCTTTTCCGGTGTTCTTGTTATAATTGCGGGGTTTTAATTTTCTTTTGTTGGATCTTTTATTCGACGAAGAAACCCTCGGAAAGGACGAATGCTTCTTATTATATATATCGATGTCGCTCGATGCCGATATGTCTAATCGGACAGAGACGATGTTGTGTTATTGGCTTCTGGGTCTGTTTGGTGAGGCACTTCATCACGAAACGACAAATTTCACGCTGTACAGAAATGTCGGTAACCGCCGAAGGCAAGAACGCGTCGTCAGGAAAAATATTGGATCGAACGAGTACACTCCAGTTGCACGAATCCAGATGTAATGTTTAAGATACTGAACGAACGGGTGAAGGCGGGTGAAGACTCAAACTTGCTTTAAAAGTCTTGTAAAAACAACACCTGCCTAACATTTTATATTCCTTTTGCAATTGAGGGCTCAATGCAATGGCATTGATTTTATATATCATTATATCAAATTGTCAAACTTTGACCTTGAGTCATCGTTGCTTGAAATAGGTATGTCCAACACAGCAGAGAAAATATTTTTACCAAAAGCAAATAAAGTAGACAGAGCGATAATTTACTTCACTTATTTCCCGTTTCTCTCGTCATTTAGCGCAATTTCCCCTACATATACTCTAAAATGCACATACTATACCAAGCCAAATATAAAAATAAAATTTCAGATTTCCGTTTATTGCAAGACATTCATATCAGGCGATACTCTTACAATTGTAGCTATATATCAACGTTGTTGTTAGCAATATATTTTCATTGATATTGGGGCATTATTTTGTGATATATACTGATAAAAAACGCTGAACGGGTTTTCACTTAAGCGGTTTAATCAGAGGACACAGAATACAATACTTGTTGGAGACTTAAATATTTGAGCTAAAGTTCACGAAGCCCATTCATCTCCGATGCATATTTTCAAAAATACAGAAAAACCGAAGCAAATTTGCAACGCCGTGCGAATGATTTCCGTTCATGTCATGTTCGCTCACGAACCAAACATCTGCAGTCTGAAGTTATTCGTGTCTGTACCTAATCTTATTCATTTCGCTGAGTTCGAGATGAAGAGAGCATTATTTTTGTTGAATTATCTGTTTTATCTGTGGTCGTTAGAGGGGGAAATGTATGTAATGTTCCCCAAAGCAAAAACCAGATTGATTGGGATAAGGTATGTTATAGTTTTTTATTAAATTGTTTTGGAAGTATTTTAATATTGTAGTGTTTTATATGGAAATGTTGTAACCGAACATCAATTCAAAGAATAAGGTATTAGAATAAAACGGACGAATAAAAGTTTTTGGTGCTCCTGAAGTATGCACACCAAGATGTCGCCTAACCTGAACCCTAATTGGTACACAACCTGAGTTCAGGTTGTGCGCCATCTTGGTGCGCATACTTCAGGAGGTCCAGTTTTTTTTTAAAACTTTTGAATTTAACGACTTCAAATTTTCAGTATTTTAAGATGGAAACACCGCTAGCATTCGATCATTTTTGTTTTAATTGTTTTTTAATTCTCTCAGAGTCCTATTGGAATGACCGCTAATTTTTCAGCAAACTAGCTGCTGAGCTATGCTAATTCCGGACCAGCATCAATTCCATAGCGTGCTTCGTTTCCATATATATTTTTGAGAATTTCTCTTTATCCATTCAGATACCAAGAAATTGGTATCTTGCATTCGACAATGGAGATCCTATCACAAGTGACTTGGAGTGCAAAACAGCTCTGGACATGAAGTTAACAACAACCGGGTACAAGTTTACCGCAAAGTACTTTGTGAACGGGTAAATATTTATATTTTACACTATCAAGTATGAGTTTAATTGATTTCACGAATTATCAAGAAAAATGGTGTAGCAGGTGTTCATGATTCTTTGGATCATTGATGAAAAAAATTGGCATCGGGTTGAAATTGTAAATTTAGGGTTGCAACTAAAATGACAACATTGGGGCAGAAATTGGAATTTTGGAATCTTTTGAATTTTTTTTATAAATTAAACAGATTTAATAGAAAAATATTGCCATATTTCATCTTTAGAAAAAAAGAGGGCGAAGTTGAAGTAACCAAATATCTTCAACCCAATGGAAACTACAACAATCTTTTTCCAAACGGTTTGCTTATCTCAATTTTTTTTCTTTATTTATTTTTTATTCATATTTCACGCATGCCAAAGCTGTAAAAATAATGCTATGTGAAGCAACTTAACATTATTACTTCCTAAGCATATTTTATACATTCAGGAAAATATGTTTACAATCGTAATGGAAAATTGAACAACGAAGCTGTCATCGAAGGTTGGATTTTGGTTAAAATCTTATATTTGAAACGAATATGAGCGTAGTTTTAAAAGTCAAAACATATAAGCAAATATCAGATCTTAAATGATATTATATTGTGCTTATATATATGATAAATAAATAAATCTGAATCAATTTGGTGCAACAAATAGGAGCCATATAAGTTATGCAATTTCGTTTGGTCACGTTCTCAAGAGCGGGCAACAAATTGACGCTGATTAAAAGTACGAAACATATATAACATTAGAAATATAGTTCAAGAAGTTTGGGTATTATGTCTACCTTGGTTCAATATTCCCATTTAAGAAATGAATCTATTATTTTCATTTGTTTATATAACGTAGAAAATCGACTGAACAGTCGCGAAGGCGAGACATTTCACTTAACGGACAATGAATCTTACTTCTTTCACATTAGCTGCGATGAAAAAGGTAAGGCATTTGTTATTAGTAAGTTGAAGAGTGCGTACATGTAATATCCTAATTGTCTCATTGTTAGATGGATACATGTAGCAAAATTAACTTACCGCCAGTTTCAAAATTGTCGTATGCATGTAGTTATTATCTTATGTTGCTCTTGATAATTTCTTATTAAGTCGTGCATAATAGCTTTTGCAACATTGATTTATGTAGACTACTGGGTTGAATGTGTTTTTTGAATATGGATAGATCCGATAAAACATGCAGCTGGTAAAACTCACCTTACCTTTTCACAATAACTATTTGAGCTTTGCTATTTAAAATTAACGAAAGAGTAACAAGAGCAGAAAGAAAAATCAAATTATTCTTCTATCAAATTTATACCAAATTTGCTATTTTCAGGTGGTTACATCATATGGGCTTTTACTGCGACTCCTAATCCAGATGTTCCAACCATTATCAGCGCTATTAACGCTCTCAGCGATTTTGGAATTCGACCGAAATTCAAGCTTTCGGGATGTTCCGACAAGTTGATTGACTTTACAAAATAAGCTAAAAGAATTATATATATATATATATATATACAGTATATGTATTTAAACATTTATACAGAAGAAATTGTACCTTTGCAATTGTAGTACCGTGCTGCTATTTCTACCTTAATTGCGAGTCTGTGTAAATTTTCTGGAAAGATAAAAGTAACCGGCCGTGTCGACTTAATCCGGTTGACAATTCGTAATACTGTTGTTTGCTTGTATTCTAAAGACAAAATTTTACTTGTTGTTCTGCGTCATTTGTTACTTTCAGGTCACCTGTACGGTTGTTTCGGGAAATTGGAAAGAAACATTTTTGGTTGTACTAGGATATTTTATTAACTACAGCAGATAGGTTGGCTTCCTGCATCCCACTAAGTACTATACCCATACCGCATGAAAAGGTCAAAAATATTTGCTTCATACAAAGAACTGTAGATTTTAATAAACAAACAAATTTATAAAATTTGTATAATTGGCCCCCCCCCCCCCCCCATTTTCGTAACACCACATTGTCTCCAGTATTTTTTTCGGATGAAACATCATCATTTACCAAAATACCTGAATGAACAGAAATTACATAATCTTCACTTGTAGCACTGCTGCTATTCGAGGCCTGGCGTTTTCCTCCTTTGTTAGGTTTCATTTTCTTAAGCTGTTCCAACCTTGTCTTTTCCGGTGTTCTTGTTATAATTGCGGGTTTTAATTTTCTTTTGTTGGATCTTTTATTCGACGAAGAAACCCTCGGAAAAGGACGAATGCTTCTTATTATATATATCGATGTCGCTCGATGCCGATATGTCTAAATCGGACAGAGACGATGTTGTGTTATTGGCTTCTGGGTCTGTTTGGTGAGGCACTTCATCACGAAACGACAAAATTTCACGCTGTACAGAAATGTCGGTAACCGCCGAAGGCAAGAACGCGTCGTCAGGAAAAATATTTGGATCGAACGAGTACACTCCAGTTGCACGAATCCAGATGTAATGTTTAAGATACTGAACGAACGGGTGAAGGCGGGTGAAGACTCAAACTTGCTTTAAAGTCTTGTAAAAACAACACCTGCCTAACATTTTATATTCCTTTTGCAAATTGAGGGCTCAATGCAATGGCATTGATTTTATATATCATTATATCAAATTGTCAAACTTTGACCTTGAGTCATCGTTGCTTGAAATAGGTATGTCCAACACAGCAGAGAAAATATTTTACCAAAAGCAAATAAAGTAGACAGAGCGATAATTTACTTCACTTATTTCCCGTTTCTCTCGTCATTTAGCGCAATTTCCCCTACATATACTCTAAAATGCACATACTATACCAAGCCAAATATAAAAATAAATTTCAGATTTCCGTTTATTGCAAGACATTCATATCAGGCGATACTCTTACAATTGTAGCTATATATCAACGTTGTTGTTAGCAATATATTTTCATTGATATTGGGGCATTATTTTGTGATATATACTGATAAAAACGCTGAACGGGTTTTCACTTAAGCGGTTTAATCAAGAGGACACAGAATACAATACTTGTTGGAGACTTAAATATTTGAGCTAAAGTTCACGAAGCCCATTCATCTCCGATGCATATTTTCAAAAAATACAGAAAAACCGAAGCAAATTTGCAACGCCGTGCGAATGATTTCCGTTCATGTCATGTTCGCTCACGAACCAAAACATCTGCAGTCTGAAGTTATTCGTGTCTGTACCTAATCTTATTCATTTCGCTGAGTTCGAGATGAAGAGAGCATTATTTTTGTTGAAATTATCTGTTTTATCTGTGGTCGTTAGAGGGGGAAATGTATGTAATGTTCCCCAAAGCAAAAACCAGATTGATTGGGATAAGGTATGTTATAGTTTTTATTAAATTGTTTTGGAAGTATTTTAATATTGTAAGTGTTTTATATGGAAATGTTGTAACCGAACATCAATTCAAAGAATAAGGTATTAGGAATAAAACGGACGAATAAAAGTTTTTTGGTGCTCCTGAAGTATGCACACCAAGATGTCGCCTAACCTGAACCCTAATTGGTACACAACCTGAGTTCAGGTTGTGCGCCATCTTGGTGCGCATACTTCAGGAGGTCCAGTTTTTTTTTTAAAACTTTTGAATTTAACGACTTCAAATTTTCAGTATTTTAAGATGGAAACACCGCTAGCATTCGATCATTTTTGTTTTAATTGTTTTTTAATTCTCTCAGAGTCCTATTGGAATGACCGCTAATTTTTCAGCAAACTAGCTGCTGAGCTATGCTAATTCCGGACCAGCATCAATTCCATAGCGTGTTTCGTTTCCATATATATTTTTGAGAATTTCTCTTTTATCCATTCAGATACCAAGAAATTGGTATCTTGCATTCGACAATGGAGATCCTATCACAAGTGACTTGGAGTGCAAAACAGCTCTGGACATGAAGTTAACAACAACCGGGTACAAGTTTACCGCAAAGTACTTTGTGAACGGGTAAATATTTATATTTTACACTATCAAGTATGAGTTTAATTGATTTCACGAATTATCAAGAAAAATGGTGTAGCAGGTGTTCATGATTCTTTGGATCATTGATGAAAAAAAATTGGCATCGGGTTGAAATTGTAAATTTAGGGTTGCAACTAAAATGATAACATTGGGGCAGAAATTGGAATTTTGGAATCTTTTGAATTTTTTTTATAAATTAAACAGATTTAATAGAAAATATTGCCATATTTCATCTTTAGAAAAAAGAGGGCGAAGTTGAAGTAACCAAATATCTTCAACCCAATGGAAACTACAACAATCTTTTTCCAAACGGTTTGCTTATCTCAATTTTTTTTCTTTATTTATTTTTATTCATATTTCACGCATGCCAAAGCTGTAAAAATAATGCTATGTGAAGCAACTTAACATTATTACTTCCTAAGCATATTTTATACATTCAGGAAAATATGTTTACAATCGAAATGGAAAATTGAACAACGAAGCTGTCATCGAAGGTTGGATTTTGGTTAAAATCTTATATTTGAAACGAATATGAGCGTAGTTTTAAAAGTCAAAACATATAAGCAAATATCAGATCTTAAATGATATTATATTGTGCTTATATATATGAATAAATAAATAAATCTGAATCAATTTGGTGCAACAAATAGGAGCCATATAAGTTATGCAATTTCGTTTGGTCACGTTCTCAAGAGCGGGCAACAAATTGACGCTGATTAAAAGTACGAAACATATATAACATTAGAAATATAGTTCAAGAAGTTTGGGTATTATGTCTACCTTGGTTCAATATTCCCATTTAAGAAATGAATCTATTATTTTCATTTGTTTATATAACGTAGAAAATCGACTGAACAGTCGCGAAGGCGAGACATTTCACTTAACGGACAATGAATCTTACTTCTTTCACATTAGCTGCGATGAAAAAGGTAAGGCATTTGTTATTAGTAAGTTGAAGAGTGCGTACATGTAATATCCTAATTGTCTCATTGTTAGATGGATACATGTAGCAAAATTAACTTACCGCCAGTTTCAAAATTGTCGTATGCATGTAGTTATTATCTTATGTTGCTCTTGATAATTTCTTATTAAGTCGTGCATAATAGCTTTTGCAACATTGATTTATGTAGACTACTGGGTTGAATGTGTTTTTTGAATATGGATAGATCCGATAAAACATGCAGCTGGTAAAACTCACCTTACCTTTTCACAATAACTATTTGAGCTTTGCTATTTAAAATTAACGAAAGAGTAACAAGAGCAGAAAGAAAAATCAAATTATTCTTCTATCAAATTTATACCAAATTTGCTATTTTCAGGTGGTCACATCATATGGGCTTTTACTGCGACTCCTAATCCAGATGTTCCAACCATTATCAGCGCTATTAACGCTCTCAGCGATTTTGGAATTCGACCGAAATTCAAGCTTTCGGGATGTTCCGACAAGTTGATTGACTTTACAAAATAAGCTAAAAGAATTATATATATATATATATATATATATATATATACAGTATATGTATTTAAACATTTATACAGAAGAAATTGTACCTTTGCAATTGTAGTACCGTGCTGCTATTTCTACCTTAATTGCGAGTCTGTGTAAATTTTCTGGAAAGATAAAAGTAACCGGCCGTGTCGACTTAATCCGGTTGACAATTCGTAATACTGTTGTTTGCTTGTATTCTAAAGACAAAATTTTACTTGTTGTTCTGCGTCATTTGTTACTTTCAGGTCACCTGTACGGTTGTTTCGGGAAATTGGAAAGAAACATTTTTGGTTGTACTAGGATATTTTATTAACTACAGCAGATAGGTTGGCTTCCTGCATCCCACTAAGTACTATACCCATACCGCATGAAAAGGTCAAAAATATTTGCTTCATACAAAGAACTGTAGATTTTAATAAACAAACAAATTTATAAAATTTGTATAATTGGTCCCCCCCCCCATTTTCGTAACACCACATTGTCTCCAGTATTTTTTTCGGATGAAACATCATCATTTACCAAAATACCTGAATGAACAGAAATTACATAATCTTCACTTGTAGCACTGCTGCTATTCGAGGCCTGGCGTTTTCCTCCTTTGTTAGGTTTCATTTTCTTAAGCTGTTCCAACCTTGTCTTTTCCGGTGTTCTTGTTATAATTGCGGGTTTTAATTTTCTTTTGTTGGATCTTTTATTCGACGAAGAAACCCTCGGAAAAGGACGAATGCTTCTTATTATATATATCGATGTCGCTCGATGCCGATATGTCTAAATCGGACAGAGACGATGTTGTGTTATTGGCTTCTGGGTCTGTTTGGTGAGGCACTTCATCACGAAACGACAAAATTTCACGCTGTACAGAAATGTCGGTAACCGCCGAAGGCAAGAACGCGTCGTCAGGAAAAATATTTGGATCGAACGAGTACACTCCAGTTGCACGAATCCAGATGTAATGTTTAAGATACTGAACGAACGGGTGAAGGCGGGTGAAGACTCAAACTTGCTTTAAAGTCTTGTAAAAACAACACCTGCCTAACATTTTATATTCCTTTTGCAAATTGAGGGCTCAATGCAATGGCATTGATTTTATATATCATCATATCAAATTGTCAAACTTTGACCTTGAGTCATCGTTGCTTGAAATAGGTATGTCCAACACAGCAGAGAAAATATTTTACCAAAAGCAAATAAAGTAGACAGAGCGATAATTTACTTCACTTATTTCCCGTTTCTCTCGTCATTTAGCGCAATTTCCCCTACATATACTCTAAAATGCACATACTATACCAAGCCAAATATAAAAATAAAATTTCAGATTTCCGTTTATTGCAAGACATTCATATCAGGCGATACTCTTACAATTGTAGCTATATATCAACGTTGTTGTTAGCAATATATTTTCATTGATATTGGGGCATTATTTTGTGATATATACTGATAAAAAACGCTGAACGGGTTTTCACTTAAGCGGTTTAATCAAGAGGACACAGAATACAATACTTGTTGGAGACTTAAATATTTGAGCTAAAGTTCACGAAGCCCATTCATCTCCGATGCATATTTTCAAAAAATACAGAAAAACCGAAGCAAATTTGCAACGCCGTGCGAATGATTTCCGTTCATGTCATGTTCGCTCACGAACCAAAACATCTGCAGTCTGAAGTTATTCGTGTCTGTACCTAATCTTATTCATTTCGCTGAGTTCGAGATGAAGAGAGCATTATTTTTGTTGAAATTATCTGTTTTATCTGTGGTCGTTAGAGGGGGAAATGTATGTAATGTTCCCCAAAGCAAAAACCAGATTGATTGGGATAAGGTATGTTATAGTTTTTATCAAATTGTTTTGGAAGTATTTTAATATTGTAAGTGTTTTATATGGAAATGTTGTAACCGAACATCAATTCAAAGAATAAGGTATTAGGAATAAAACGGACGAATAAAAGTTTTTTGGTGCTCCTGAAGTATGCACACCAAGATGTCGCCTAACCTGAACCCTAATTGGTACACAACCTGAGTTCAGGTTGTGCGCCATCTTGGTGCGCATACTTCAGGAGGTCCAGTTTTTTTTTTAAAACTTTTGAATTTAACGACTTCAAATTTTCAGTATTTTAAGATGGAAACACCGCTAGCATTCGATCATTTTTGTTTTAATTGTTTTTTAATTCTCTCAGAGTCCTATTGGAATGACCGCTAATTTTTCAGCAAACTAGCTGCTGAGCTATGCTAATTCCGGACCAGCATCAATTCCATAGCGTGTTTCGTTTCCATATATATTTTTGAGAATTTCTCTTTTATCCATTCAGATACCAAGAAATTGGTATCTTGCATTCGACAATGGAGATCCTATCACAAGTGACTTGGAGTGCAAAACAGCTCTGGACATGAAGTTAACAACAACCGGGTACAAGTTTACCGCAAAGTACTTTGTGAACGGGTAAATATTTATATTTTACACTATCAAGTATGAGTTTAATTGATTTCACGAATTATCAAGAAAAATGGTGTAGCAGGTGTTCATGATTCTTTGGATCATTGATGAAAAAAAATTGGCATCGGGTTGAAATTGTAAATTTAGGGTTGCAACTAAAATGACAACATTGGGGCAGAAATTGGAATTTTGGAATCTTTTGAATTTTTTTTATAAATTAAACAGATTTAATAGAAAAATATTGCCATATTTCATCTTTAGAAAAAAAGAGGGCGAAGTTGAAGTAACCAAATATCTTCAACCCAATGGAAACTACAACAATCTTTTTCCAAACGGTTTGCTTATCTCAATTTTTTTTCTTTATTTATTTTTTATTCATATTTCACGCATGCCAAAGCTGTAAAAATAATGCTATGTGAAGCAACTTAACATTATTACTTCCTAAGCATATTTTATACATTCAGGAAAATATGTTTACAATCGTAATGGAAAATTGAACAACGAAGCTGTCATCGAAGGTTGGATTTTGGTTAAAATCTTATATTTGAAACGAATATGAGCGTAGTTTTAAAAGTCAAAACATATAAGCAAATATCAGATCTTAAATGATATTATATTGTGCTTATATATATGAATAAATAAATAAATCTGAATCAATTTGGTGCAACAAATAGGAGCCATATAAGTTATGCAATTTCGTTTGGTCACGTTCTCAAGAGCGGGCAACAAATTGACGCTGATTAAAAGTACGAAACATATATAACATTAGAAATATAGTTCAAGAAGTTTGGGTATTATGTCTACCTTGGTTCAATATTCCCATTTAAGAAATGAATCTATTATTTTCATTTGTTTATATAACGTAGAAAATCGACTGAACAGTCGCGAAGGCGAGACATTTCACTTAACGGACAATGAATCTTACTTCTTTCACATTAGCTGCGATGAAAAAGGTAAGGCATTTGTTATTAGTAAGTTGAAGAGTGCGTACATGTAATATCCTAATTGTCTCATTGTTAGATGGATACATGTAGCAAAATTAACTTACCGCCAGTTTCAAAATTGTCG